GCCCGGGATCCGAACCCGGACCGCCAGCAGCGGAGCGCGCGCACTTAACTGCTTAAGCCACGGGGCCGGCCCCTACCATCATCCATTTTAGAACATTTTTATCACACCAAAAAGAAACCCTGTTCAGGGGCCGACCCAGTGGTGCAAGCGGTTAAGTGCGCATGCTCTGCTGCCACGGCCTATGGTTCTCCGGTTCGGATCCTGGGCGCGCACCAACGCACCGCTTGTTAAGCCATGCTGTGGCAGCGTCCCATATAAAGTAGAGGAAGATGGGCACGGATGTTAGCCCGGGGCCAGTCTTCCTCAGCAAAAAAGAGGAGGATTGGCTTCAGATGTTAGCTCAGGGCTGGTCTTCCTCCCTGAAAAAAAAAAAAAGAAGAAAAGAAACCCTGTTTTCTTTAGATATCACCCCCTTTCTCCTTATCCACCCCAGCCCTAAGCAACCACTAATCTACTTTCTGTCTCTATAAATTTACCTATTCTGGACATTTCATATAATTGGAGTCATATAAAATGTGGTCTTTTGTGACTGGCTTTTTTCATTTAGCACAACGTTTTCAAGGTTCATACATTTTATGGCATGGATCAGTATTTCATTCTTTTATATGGATACATAATATTCCATTGTTTGGATATACCATATTTGTTTTTATCTATTCATCAGTTGCTGGACATTTGCGTTGTTTCCATTTTTTTACTATTGTGAATAATGCTGTTTTAAACATTCATGTGCAAGTTTTTATATAGACATATATTTTCATTTCTCTTGGGTATATACCTGGATTGGAATTGCTGATCATATGGTAACTCTGTGTTTAATCATTTGAGGAATTGCCAAGCTGTTTTCCAAAGCAACTGCACCATTTTATCTATATCTCCCACTTTTTTTATATATATATTTTACATATATATTTCCCATTTTATATATATATCTTATTTCTTTCAAATAAGGTAATGTATGAGGTTTGCAATTCCTCCATATCGTTGACAACACTTTTTAAAAAATTATAGCTAACCTAGAAGATGTGAAATGGTATCTTGTGATTTTGATTTGCGTATTCCTAGTGACTGATGATGTTGGTTATCTTTTTGTCTTTTTCTGTGCTTATTGCCCATTTGTATATCTTCCTTGGAGAAATGTGTATTCAGATCCTTTGCCCATTTTTAAATTGGTTTGTCTTTTTGTTGTGCTGTAAGAATTCTTTATGTATTCTGCATACCAGACCCTTACCAGATTTATGATTTGCAAATATTTTTTCCCATATTGTAGGTTGTCTTCTAATTTTTTTGATAGTGTCTTTTAATACACAAAAGTTTTTAATTTTGATGAAGTACGGTTTATCTAGTTTTTCCTTTGTTCCTCGTGCTTTGGTGTCATATCTAAGAATCCATTGCGAAATCTGAGGTCATGAAGATTTATCCTTATGTTTTCTTCTAAAAATTTTATAATTTTAGCTCTTGTTTTGAGGTCTTTGATCCACTGTGAGTTAATTTTTGTATATCGTGAGAGGTAGGGGTCCAAATTCATACTTTCGCATGTGGATATCCAGTTGTCCCAGCTCCATTTTTTTGAAGACTGTTCCTTCCCCATTGAATGGTCTTGGCTCCCTTGTTGAAAATCTGTTGACCATAGACATATGGTTTTGTTTCCCAACTCTTAGTCTCTGCCATTGATCTATATGTCTGTCCTTATGCTAGTACTATACTGTCATGATTACTGTTGCTTTGTGGTAACTTTTGCAGTTAGGAAGTATGAGTCTTCCTACTTTATTCTTTTTTATGATTATTTTGGCTGTTCTGGGTCCTTTGCAATTCCATATGAATTTTAGAGTCAGCTCGTCAATTTCTAAGGTAATCAGCTGGGATTCTGATAGGAATTGCGTTGAATCTGTAGATGAATTTGGAGAGTTTTGCCATCTCAACAATATTATCTTCCAATCCATAAACAAGGAATGTTTTTCCATTTATTTATATATTATTTCTGTCAACAATATTTTTGTAGTTTTCAGAGTATAAATTTTATACTCCCTTTTGTAAAATTTATTTCTAATATTCTTTTGATGCTATGAGTGGAATTGTTTTCTTAATTTCATTTTCAGATTGTTCATTGCAAGGGTATAGACATACAATTGATTTTTGTATGTTGATCTTGTATCTTCTAGTAGTTTTTTTAGTGGACTCCTTAGGATTTTCTATCTATAAGATCATGTCATCTACAAACTTAGTTTTACTTCTTCCTTTCCCATCTGGATGCCTTTTATTTCTTTTTCTTGCCTAATTGTCCTGGCTAGAATATGGAATTGATGAGAGCAGACATCCCAGACATCCTTGTTTTGTTCTTGGTCTTAGGGGGAATGCATCCAGTCTTTCACCTTTAAATATCATGTTAGCTGTGAGTGTTTTATAGATGACATTTATCAGATTAAGGAAAATGCCTTCTATTCCTAATTTGTTGCATATTTGATTTATCATGAAAGGGTGTTGGATTTTATCAGGTGGTTTTTCTGTATCTATTGAGATGATCATGTGGTTTTATTTTTTATTCTATTGATATGTACATATTACATTAATTGATTTCTGGATATTAAACCAACCTTGCATTCCTGGGATGCATCCCATTTGGTCATGGTATATAATTCATTTTATATGCTTGTACATATATAAACGTATTCATTGAGGATTTTTGCATCCATATTCAGAGGAGATATTGGTTTGTAGTTTTCTTTTCTTGGGATGTCTTTGTCTAGTTTTGATATCAGGGTAATGCTGGTCTCATAGAATGAGTTGGAAAGTGTTGTCCCTTTTTTGATTTTTTTTGGAAGAGTTTATGAAGAATTGGTTTTAATTCTTCTTTAAATGTTTGGTAGAATTCTTTTTTTTTTTT